ATATTTAAAATTTACATTATTGTATATATATAATTTTATATATATGTCAATATACATATCAAAAAGAAGGATTTAAATGTCATTAACATTAAATATGGTCATTTTTTACCAATTTAAATTCCTTAGTTAATTTTCTTTTCAGAAATACCAATTTTATGAATATCAGTCAAACCACTATTGAGATATTAAAGTTTAAATGTTGGTGGCCACACCCGTTTTGACCAATTTTACCAAATTCGGGCAGGCCGTAACTTCCAAAGTATTTATCCGATTTTGCTAAAATTTGAGATTTGGGTTTGATGCCAAACCCAACTTGTATACCAATTTTCATTGAAATTGGAGTAGGTCGAGTTAAAACTTCTCATTTTTTTGAGAGATTTTACATAGAATGACCCAAATAGGGCCACTTTAACATAGAGTATATCAACTACTGTACAAACCAAGCAAGTTTTTAGTTTATTCTGTTTCTTTGAAATACATGTAGAGTATATGTTTTGTACTATCTCGAACAGAAGGCTATGCAATCTTGTTTTGAGATGGACTTCTCTTTGAGGCTACATTTAGAGGAGCTTCGATTCAAGGCTTTAGGGCAAGAGCTCCCGCTTTCCTATTCTGCATTGAATTCTATTTGGGATATACATGTACCTATTGTTACGATGCCTCTACATTATGTATATACATTACGGTATATTTAAATATCTGTGAATTATTTAAAGTTGCTACTTGATTTTGTTACTTTTAGATGATTAATTCAAAGTTTTATTTAAATTTTGAGGTTTTTTTCTTTCATTTTTTTTTTGGTTTGCATGCATAACAGCTGTTTTGAACATTCATTATGTTTATATTTCAAATATAAACACTTAACAAATAAAATAATATTAAACAGTTTCTTACCTGTGAGAAGATATTCGGTGTTGACCTGGAGACCTGGGATGCCACACAGAGAATCAAACGATGCTGTCAAGATTTCAACATCCTGCGCGGGCATCAGATCTGCCCCTTTGTAAATCTCTGTCACTCTCACAAGATACTTGATAGACATTTGTCCTTGTGGGGAAGTAGAGATCACTCGACCACGAATGGCTGTATAAAGACAAATATTAAATAATTAAATTATTACATGGTTGAAGAGCTTTTAGAAATATGTGTTACCAGTGGTTATTAATATTATGTATTAATAATCATGAATAAGAATGTTTTATTTTGGTTTGTTTTTAATTAACTCTTAAAAATAATGGGGAGATTTTAAGTATGTTTTAGTACTAATAGCATCCATTTGGTGGGCAATCTGCATCAACATGGTCCAGGGGTGGATCCAGAGATGTCCAAAAGGGAAGGCTGAAAAGGTGGGGGGGGGGCCCGAAAGTTGGGCCGATAGAGGTGGTCTGGGGTCATGCCCTCGTGGAATGTTTGTGTTCTAGATGCCCGAAAATAATATCTGAGGCGTTTGGGCTGTCTCTTTCTTTCTTTTTTTCCCCTTTTATTTACCTCCCAAAAGGGGGGGAGGGCTGGGCCCCGCACCTAAGTCCGCCCCTGTGGTCACTGAAGTCATAGGGGTATGGAAAAAGTTCATAAAAAATTTTGGTTTAAACAGCTTCGTCTTTCTCCTCACTTATTCAGACGAAAGAGGTCAGACTCTGATTGAGGGATGGTGGTTATTAAAACAAGAAGGTAACTGCATACTGGAATACAAGATCAATTTGTTAGCAATGTATTATATAGAATGTAATATATTAATATAATTAATTTTATTATATATTATTATATAATATAATATATATATATATATGTATATATATATATATTTAAATTATATTAATTATTATATAATTAATTATATTATAAATTATATATTAATTAGATAACTAAAACAAATCAGTCAAGATTCTCACCAAAATCTGCTCTGCAGAACTTCTGCTGTGGTGTTTCCCAAGCACACATACAGGCCAATGACGCTTGCAAACTGCAGACAACCAACAATAATACGAGTACCTTCATCTTTGAGCTATTCAAAAAATTGTTGTTTCAATTTTTGTATTCAGTATTAAGGTCTATGTCAGGTTTGTTTCTTCTGCAAATTCAGTCAAAACTGATGGTCCACAGCAGTTTGGTACAAGATTATATAGCCTGCTACTTCCATCATTCTGGCTCACTCATTCATAATGCATATTTGTATAATAAACATAAGTGGTATATACTGCAATTTATTAATCGTTAAATTGAACATTGTGTATAACATTAATGCTCAAGTTGCTGTATTGATGGATAATCCAGAATATAATGAGTAATTTGACCTGTTGTTAGAATTAACAGTTTTTCCTAGAAAAAGTACTTGGAAAACATGTGATTTCAATTTGGTGTGAGTTTAAAATATAATACCTGTATCAATGTTAGTTATGATCTCATCAGAAATCATAAACCTTGCAGTAATAATCTTTTAAAATTCTTTTCTGGCATGAAAGTAAGTCTATACTGCTTCATTGTAATCATAAAATGAGGAGTTAATCAATATTTAATTCACATTAAAACATAATTTAAGAAATATACAGATTTTGAAAATAGATTTTGTAAGCTGATACTTTTATAGCTACCTAGGAACTTTTTCAAATAGCTGATATTAATTTACGATTTTGATACAATCGGTTTTCTATATATTCCTAATGAATAAAACTTAGCAAAGTATGATGTAATCTATATTCAATACATACCTAAATTAATCACAACTAATGCTCCGCAACATTTTGATTTACGACTACTAGTAGATAGACCTTACATGAATTTAGCCCACTCCCTCTGTAAAAAAACTTCCTGTGGTTTTTTTCCAGTAAGATGTTAATCTATATTAATTATTAATTGTGGCATCAGAAATGAGCCAAGAAAAATGGTTCTTTTTGGTGTACTAATTGTTCTTATTGGTGTACCAAAGAATGGCTCCTCTTTGTCACTAAAATTGCTTTGGTCTAGCACTATTCTGCTGACAGGAGATTGACATACTGTATTTATTCAGAAATAATTCACCCCCACGAATAAAAGCCGTCCTCCCCCTCGAGCCTCATTTTGAATAAATGTCTCTCTCAAATAAATGCCCAGAGGTGTGAATAAACATCCCCTGAATAACTAAACAAATCTAATGGAAGCAACATCATTCTCAACACATTTTATTAATGTTCTACTCCAGTAGAATTACATTTTTTCTAACTTGGTTGGGATCAGTATGTCTCTATGATCATGAAATAGGATCTGTGACGCAGTAATATATTTTAACGGTAATGTTGTGTTATAGTTCCATGTTTATATTGAAATTAATTGCGTTTATTTAAGTATATAGATATCCATTTTACACCAAAAACCCTTCTCAATAATAAGCACTGCTTGGCGTTTATTCAAATAAATACGGCAATTGATTTTTCATGATTGTCACCAGTTATACCTAATATTTGTAAGCAATTCTTCAAAAAGAAAGATCCTATTATGAGGACATTAAATTTTACATTGGTTCATCAATGCTAGGTCTACAATCTGCTAGATATAAATTTCATCTTTTCAATCATCATTGGCATAACAAAAAAGTATTATATCATATTATTTTAAGTATAATGGTAATATGATTGGAGCAGAAGGAATACAGTACTCTACCTGATATGCTCTTTTTTTTCCTTTATGTAACACCAGGACAATATAATTTTAGGCTTATTTTTAATATTTCAGAATTAAAAAGAGTGTGGTCCCTTAATAGGTTGTAAATATATACACTCATTAGGATGGTCCAAGTCTTGTAATAGAGGTGATCACAGAGACACAGTAGTAAAGTGTAGGTAGGCACAACAAAAGTAGAAAAATCATTTGGAAATAAATAACTTCAATTATCTTGGAAACGATAAAAAATGATTTAAAGATAGTCTTAAGCTACTTTTATCAGGTAAAATTGAATATCCACATCTCTCTGCCCTTATATTTGTGTTAATGCTTTTAAAAATAATTCTACTCAATGCTGTCATGTCACAAATTTTAAGCTAATCAAATGCTTGGAATTCTTAACACTGGTAACTCTACTTTAATGCCATTTAATTGTAATTTAATAATGTTTAACGCTAGTAAAATTATGAAACTGGGCAGACCACTCCTGTAGAAGTGGTTGCCTTGGATGGTCAAGGGTTTGAAACACTTGCAGTGAAAGTCACTTGTTTTTGTGGGAAAAAACTTTACATTTGTCTCACTCCTACCAGAAGTATAAATGAGTACTGTACAAAAAGCAGAGAAGAAATCTAGAGGAGTCTAGAGGTGCCCTAACCATGGTGGGACTGAGAGGGTCCAGGCATCTGTGAAAGTCCCTTCCTGGACTCTCTCTATTTCAAATTCCTGGATCTGTCACTGCCTTGTTTCATTATGAAACTTGTGAAATCAGTAGCTGTTTGGCTTTTTTAGGGGTTTTTTTTTTTTTTTCATTTTATTTTCAGTTTAGAACATTAGTGGTTTTGAAGATGCTCTTGAGAAATATTGATTGAGGAAAGTGTTAATGGAAATACAAGCACTATACCTTTGTCACTTCCAAAAAACCTGGATTGTTTCCAAAATTTTTTTAGATAACCAAAAGCAATTCATAGTACATATATAAAGCATCAAGATTTTGTCAACCCGTATAAATGTACCGTTGAAGGGTCAAATTGATCAGCTCTTCACTCCCCAAGTAAAGAAACTTGACAGGTATTAATTTCCTAAATGATCTGCTCTCTTTCTCTACTTTGCCTTAGTGAGATTTGGTTATAGGGCATCAGGGATTTGTAATAATAATAATAATAATAATGTCTTGGGCTTCTAGCTACATCCAATCCAATCCAATCAGAAGATTTCTAAAGCGCCTTTCTTGTAGGCACCTCACAACCCACAAGCAGCCATGATCATTGCCTAACCCAAGCACAGAACAAGTAAACAAATCAAAAGAAGCAGTGGCAAAATTTGGAATCATAAATAAATAATGCAACAATAAATAAAATAAGAATAAAAATGGGATAATTAGTTTAAAGAGGTGAGTCTTTAAGTTAGACCTAAAGACAGCCACAGATGGTGAAGATCGAATGTGCACTGGAAGGTTATTCCAGATGAGTGGCGCCTCGCATGGAAAAGATTTGTTAGGTCCATGCCTATATGCTTGTTAAAGATAGGTTGATAAAAATTAACATTCAAAGCTGATCTGGTATGAATTTGCTTTTTACGTACAAGTAAAAAGTCAGAGATATATTATGGGCATAGGCCAGACAGTGGCTTGAAAGCAAGGACCATTAATTGAAATAAACCCTTTGCTTAATTGGCAGCCAGTGGAGTTCACAGAGAAGATGTGATGTGTGAGTATGTGAGTATTGGATGTTAAAAATTAGGCGTGCAGCAGAATTCTCTTGGGCACTTGTTGGAACCCCACATCCCACCCTCATGCACTGACTGGCTTTTGTTGTCTTTTCACATATAGTCACAGTTATAGTTTAGTTTTCCACCAATCAGCAGCAAATCTCACTACCCAAACAAATAAGTATTTCCCAGCCTGTTTGGAATTTTCTGCACATATTCTCTTGAAGAAGATTGAAGCAACTCAATCGAAACGTTGAGACATGTCCAACCCACTATCCACGTGGTGTACTGCAAGCATTCATATATATTATTTTGCCATGCAAACCTTTAAACAATAATAATGGGCATGTAAATTTCTTATTGTTTTTACATTGTTGATCATAATTAAGTGATTAGCTTTTCAGAATGCCCACCACCATATAAACTTTGACATCAGACGAGGATTGCATGCCAAAATTGCCATATAAGGGCTCAGTAGATTTTTATTTTTCAAAATGCTGGAAGATTTGCAACCATGACAATATATTTTAGTGTTTTATTTTTAAAATACAGGAAGGTACTCAACTATGACGTTTTATTTAATTCCTGTATTATTATTGTAATTTTTAGAGGGAAGCTGTGATTATTTCACCTGACAAAATCTAAACAATGGTACGATTAAGCATCCTCATTTATGAATTTATTAGCCTACTTATTAAATGTTGATATTAGGAACTGAATAAGATTAAAACACGGACAAGCTGTCCCTTATAGTATTTCCCGTTCCAACAGGTGCCCAAGATAATTCTGTATATATCAATAGTCAGCGTGTGGGTTGTACTTTCATTTTTAGATAACAGAAGTTCACAAGAGAAAACATCAATTTTGGCAACATTTTTTTTTACTAAAAAATTACCATATATTTGTAATACTTCATTAATGAATGCAATAATAAATAACCCATGTTTGTATAAGGTATAAGGCTCGGACAAATACAGTTATGTCATTAAAAATATATTGTGAATCCTTACAGTACAGGATTTGAAGCTAGTTACTATACAAATGCCAAGTTTCTGCCTTGTATTTTATGTTGTTTTTTTTCTCAAAATATCCAATAATATGCAATAAATATGTAAATCAATAGTAAAATATGGTAATACAAAATGCCCAGTTTTAAAAATAGAATATATTATATTAATATAAATCATTGTACCATCTTCAAATCAAATAATTAAATTTTAAAATTAAGAATGTAGTTTTTAAGATTCAAAATTGGAAGGAAATATGTCTAGACTCATATCTAGCACATGGATTTCATACCATTTTCTTGTTTTGCTGAATTTGTTTGAAGTTTATTTAAACCTGTTATTTTAAACAAGTTTTATTGGCTTTTACCAAATCTTTATCCAGTCAAACTACAGTACTTTATTTTATAGGCTTATTTGAAATTACCTACTAAGTGTTAATATAATTATGCCTAATATTATGTATGAATGCTTAAAATGCATGCATTGATGTGAATGGATAGGTCTATTATTAGAACTGATGACTAATAAGAATGCTCATATTTAATTTAAAATGTCTGAACCTCCCCAGACAGAATCTGAATATGTTCGATGTCTGCTCTCATGCTGTTTCCAGACACTACCCGGTTACAGCAAGACGACAGCATCGTGGTGGCCAGTTTCTGCATTTGATCAGCTGATGGATGGACCGGATCTTGAATACCATAGTATTATTTTTTTAGAAAAAGGAAGTGGCTTGTGGCCATATGCCATAATAAAAAA